ACTGACTTATATCCTAAGGGGATATAGAAAAAAGTAAACCCAGAGGGAGATTTTAATCTGCTAGGCAAAATTAAAAGTGAAAAATAATAATTAACATGTGAATATTAAGTGATAAATGCTAGGGAAGTTCAGAGGAAAGTAACCATAGAATCTATTTTGCATTTTAATTGGGACTAAAATAAACCAGAAGAAGTTCAATAGCAAAAATGGAAGACAAGATATTTCAAATAAAGAGAATAACATGAGTGTGAGTGGAAGGAAATGGAGTTAAGCCTGTGAGGGCAGGGACATCTAGTACCTTATTTCCCAGGTCTCCTTTTTCATTGTTCATTTTAGTGGAAAGCATTTAAATTTTCTTCTCAGACAAGTTTTTTTGCTTTATATGACTTTTGACCTTCACCAGTTCTACTAAAGTAAGAATTTTCTGTAAAACTGAACAAATGAACTCTAATATAAGATAATAATGTGAACTGAAATATATTAAAAGGAAACAATAATGTAAGGCCTTTTCTTTGCTAAAAAAAAAAAGACCAAAGTCCATTGGAAAGATTTGTCAATAATACTGTTGTCTCAAAAGCATTCAGGCAATGCTATTTTGCAGCTTACATGTTCTTGTCTATAATAACAAAGACTCTTTGTGAATAGATTAGATAGGAATCCTGCATAGACTGTAACCCAGAGAAAAAGAATGTATCCTTGAGGTAAATGGCCCTCATGAAATCAACATGTATTCCAGACTCATTCCAAGACTTTAAACTGCAATTAAGGCTGATTTTAGACTGCCCATGTAGGAAAACTGGACATCATTAAGAAAGAAATGAATACATGAATTTTGATATATTAGGTATTGGTAAAATGAGATAAATAGGCATGGGACATTTTGAATCAGAAATTAATATAATCTACTATGCTGGAGATGAAAAGGTGAAGAAAAAATGAGGTTACTTTGATAGTTAAAAAAGGTGTTTCTAGATCCATCTTGAAATACAATGTTGAGAGTGGCAGGATAATATCCATACAAGTGCAAGGAAGTCCAGGGAATACCTCCATCATTCATATTTATGCATCAATAACCAGAGCCAAAGAAGAGGAAATAGATGATTTATATCAATTTTTGCAGTCAGAAATTTATCAAAAATGCAACTAATATGCATTAATAATAATGGGTGACTAGAATGCAAAAGTTGGGAACCAGGAAGAAGGATCGATGAGTAGTCAAAACAGAGTTGACAACAGAAAGGAGACTGAGGATAGAATGATAGAATTCTGCATAATCAATGATTTATTCATAGATAATATCTTTTATAAGAAACATAAATACAGGCTATATACATGGATTTCACCTAATGGTATGCACA